TGCTGGATCTGGAATGTCTGCAGACTGGTGTGCGCAGTGAGGATGAAGATGTCCACAGCAGCACAAGGATTGAACAGCGTTGAGGCAAGCAAATAATGACTGAATTTATGTTTGGCTGAACTATAACCCTTAAAAATAGAAACTGTATGAAATATATGTAAGCATTTATATTATAGTAGTACCTTGAAGAAATAAACTTGAAGAAATAAGCAGCTTTATTGAGCGTCTGTGCCCAAGACACAAAAATGGATTTACAAAAATCACATTTACATTTATGCATTTGGCAGACACTTTTATCCGAAGTGACATACAGTGCTCTTATTACAGGGGCCCCAATGCCCCTGGAGCAACCTGGAGAAAAGGGCCTTGCTCTAGGACACAACCAGTTGTGACGACTGCAGAGATTGAACCAGTAACCTGCTTTAGCCCACTACACAACAAATGTTTTACAGATAGTCATGGTCATGGAGAGCAGGCACACAGATGTTTGGAGCAGACACAGCAGCAGTCAGATTGTCCCGCACATGTTCAAGATTGTATTTCAGGGGGGCGTCATCATGATCTTCCTCATCCTCTCTGTGCACTCAGGCAAGGACAGCCTCGATGTCCCTTTCCTATCCATGATCAGATTCAGTCTGACTGCAGCAGTGATGGTCGTGATGGACAGCAGAGACAGGTGAAGGTGGACATGGTGGTCAGCTGCTTCATCAGAATAAAGCTGCAGAACTGGAACAGCTGTGTTGAGATGGCAGAAGGATGTGGGTTCACTGCCTGTAAATACATCATTGTTAGAAAAGTTTGAATAAAGCTTTGTTTCATGTGTTGTCGACTTTGTTGTTGATTTCCATGGTTACTTTTATTCATTCTTTTACTCATATTCATGTTTCTTGTTGTCAGTAAATAAAATATAATTGTTTCATTAACTTGTGCATTAATTACTTGACTGAAAATTGAGATGTATTTACCTTGGCTGCATTTGTCTAGTGTGCAGTCATGCATAGCCATGGCATATGACAAAACAAATTACATTTTGCTTGTTTTACTAAAATTATATATTTAATTAATTAATTTTGGTCAGCATTTATCATTATTGTAAGTGTTGGGGTGGGCTAGCAATGCATTTTGGGGTAATCTTATTTTTTAAGTAGTAATACTTACATTTTTTGAGTATAATATCAGCAGTCTTCTCCAAAGGCGAGATCTTCAACCAGCTGCCCGATGTCTCCTTTGTGCAGACATTGAAAACGCTGCAGAAAACTGTACTAGGTAGGGTTGTGGAGTTACTGATGCTATGAGGAGTTAAAATCAAAGGAGATTTAAGCCGGTTTTGCTTGTGGATGAGATTAACATATTCAAAAGACAACAATTTGGGGTTTTCATAATAAAATTGTATATCTTTAAGGATAAAATTCTGGGTCATATTAGTAGGGTTAAAAATATAAAAACTTAAATCAACCCAACATGTATTGGTTATACTGCAATCACAATAAAAAGGCAGCTGTTTCTCCAAAAAGACCACAAAATGAGCAAACTCCAGCGTCTCCTCGTTCCTCGTGTGTGTGCATCGTGACACCGGGGGGGGTGAACAAAGGTTTCCTGTAGCGAATCCATGCGTTTTTGTAAGACAAATATCCATATTCAAAACGTAATAATCACTTTAATGTAGCTTGCGCCCATCAATTCGCTACAGGAGGACTTTGTTCACCCCCCCCCGAGCCATGTGAGACACTTTTTATTAAGGATGGGCGCTTTTTATTTCACTTCTTTTGGACTGATGCACTGCAACACCCGCTGAGTGCCATTAAACAGCTTGAAAGATCAAAGACAATTTTTTATATAACTCCGACTGGATTCGTCTGAAAGAAGAAAGTCATATACACCTAGGATGACTTGAGGGTGAGTAATTTATGGGCTAATTTTCATTTTTGGGTGAACTAACCCTTGAAGTCACATGATAACGTCAGCATGGCGGATGATGTATGGATCGCATTCATACTTAACGAGATTTGGCTGTAGAGTACGTACTCTTTTAACGCTCGTTAAGTAAGTACTTATTGAGATTAAGTACCTACTCATTGAGTATGCGGTTTAAAACGCAGCCTGTTTCTCAACGGCTCTGGGATTAATGAGCTGCTGGGTTCATGAATATTAATCACGTTTTCTGCGTTCGCTCGAACTGATTTGCTGTAATCAAAACAGGGATGATAATAGGTGAGCACCAGCCAATGAGATTGCCATGAGCGCATTAGTTCCGTCCACTACCTGAGAAACCAGCAGTTTTTAATGGTTGTTCTTAAAAGCTGAAGAATTCCAAATTAACTCCATTATTTTGACAGGAAAATACAACAAAGAATATAGTTTACAATGTAGCGCGTCAATTCTGCATGGAATGTAAGATTAGCTCTCGCTCTCTTTCTTTGAGTGTGTGAGAAACAGCGCTCTCAACAAAGCGATGGCGAGTCGTGCGCCTTTACACTAGAGTTTACGGTTCGTCATATACAGGTACGCTGCGCATCCATTGAGATGACTTGAAAAACAGCATAGATCGCTTGACAGAGAGTGAAACTCTGAAGCGCTCACTGTTCAGCGAGTGAAAATATATCTGTGCTAAACTTAAACTTAGCCTCCAACTCACACACTGGCCAGTAAAATCTAAGAATTTATTAGCCAATGGCTAACAATAGATATTATTTAGTTGCCCAGAGTGAAGATTTAGTCGCAATGTAAAGGGTTATTAAATGTCTTTCAAGTTTTCCTTTAATAGTAGTGTATCTCAACTAGTAAATATGCCATTGAGATCTTCATTTCTCCTCATCTCGTAAATATGATCATTCCGGCAACATTTGAGGGATGTAGCCTATAAGACCTCAGATGGGAGAGGTGGGAAATTGAAATTGAACACATTCATAAAGGAAGGAAGCTGTACCTGAAATGGAAGATTAAGGTGAGGCTGAAATGTAAGGAACAGAGGAAGGAGATTTTGGTAGGGAGGAAGGTTGTCTTGCCAAATGTAGGCCTATCATTTATTTTATCCCCCATCCTTCCGTCTAAGCTCTGCACCACTTCTCCACCACTTAAGGCATTGATTCTGTTCCTTCCCAAATTTATAGCCTGACGCTGTACTCTTTTTTTTTTTTCAAATTCAGACGTCATATTGATGAGAAGCTGCAGAATCATCACACCCAGATCGAAGCTAAGAGAGACAAATGGAGCATTGCCGCTTGTTGCCAGATCTCTTAGACCAGTGTGTGTACGAGCAGTGTTTAAATGAGCTTGTTTCTCGCAACTGGAAGGTGATGTCATGTGTTTGAGTGGTGTCTGTGGTTTGAGTGTGTCTGTCGTATTGGTTTCTGTGATTGTGTCCTGAGAGGTTTTATTTGGAATGTCCTGTGTTTGTTGTCTGGAGTGTGTGTTTTGAAGTCTGTTTTTAGGTACATGTTTTGTATGGTGGTTTGTCTTGTTGGCTGTTTATGGTGTGTATGTTTATCCTGTCTGATTTTTTTTTGGCTTTGCCCACAAACAAACTTTCTTGTTATAGAGAGTATTTGATTGGATAAAAAGAGTGAGTACAGGATGAGTCATCAATATTTTTGGTTCATTTTCCTGGACAAGAAAGTTTTGATTTAATGGGGTTGGTAACTCTTAACGCTTTTACATGTAGCTTATTTGCACAATTTGTGCTTTTTTAGGCATGAAGTATGTCTGGTGCAGTTGATCCTACAAGACTGTGTGTGTTTTCATGGCAACTTGCGCTTTGTTCAGACTGAGCTTCCTTAGAGAGGGGGTCAGCACTTTTGAAAAGGCTGATTGAGTTTTCAGCAAGAAGGTGAGAGGGGGTAGTGCAAGAGTGACTCGCTCTCTCTTTACTGCTGCAGACCTTTCATTTTGTGTGTGACCTTGGAGGAAATGCTACGTGGGTTGGTTATCATTTTGATGTATTTTTGAGGAAAGCAAGTATCACAAAAGAAACCCACAGCTGGTTTGTTTGTTTTAGTATTTTATTTGATTGAATTTTTATTTTCTTTGGTATTTCAATATTTTTTATTTTATTTTATATTTATTTTAAATTTAAATGTATTTAGTATTTTATTGTATTGTCTGTTTGTTTATTTATTTATTTACTTACAGTGAGATTATTTGTTCTCTGAATGTGTACATTTTATTTAAAAAAACAATTTGATATGTACCATACTATGCGATATAAATAAAATATTGTGTATGTGATTAAGGAAAGTGCATTATCGATTCGTTAGTTTTATTTAATTAAATTATAATTTTTTTTTTATTCTGTGTTGCATGTTAGCAGTGTAGAACCATTTTGAACAAGTTTTACCCAGAAAACTGACAAAAAGGCATAATCACAGACATTCCTTTGCGGACAGGATTAGTTTACCTTGAGTTAGCCAAAAAAAAAAACATATTTTAATTAATTTGCGCCATAATTTCTACAGTGGTTCTTTGTTTGTTTGTTCAATTTAAACAGGATTAAAATCACCAAGCAAATCTGTGAAACACAAACTGTCCTGACCTTCTCAAAGAAGATGAGTCCTGTCTGAATAGAGCCATTTTTTCCTAAGCAGTGTTAAAATTGAATGTTCATGTCGGGCATAAGCATAGAAATGCTACATCCTCATAACATTGTTGCTACTCGAGCTGGAGTCAGATTATCGTTCAAAACAGATATCCGAGCGCTGGAGACTCAAAGTGTGTGTTTATGAGTAGCTCTCGGCTGATTGGCTGAGCCGAAAGCGTGAAAGACTGTGGGGAGGAGGATGCATGAGTCGGGGTGGGGTAAGGGGCGTGTCCTCCCCCTCTCTGTTTGCCTGGTGTCCCTACTTGATGAGATCAGCGGATCGCTTTTCATCATGAGGCAGCTCTCGCGCTGCTGCTCGCACTGCCGTCTGTCCTCTTTCTCTCTCTTCTTCCCTTTCTCTGTCTTTCGGGCCACTGAGCTGGAGTTCGGAGCCGGAGCTGGAGCCGCGACACAGGACGGAGTAAGGAGTGCGGAGTGGGACGGAGGCTGCCACGGCTGGGATTAACCTCAGGGAGGGGGTTGGGGGGGGTTACGTCTCTGGGGAGAAGCTTCTTTTCTCCTTCCTCAGCAGGCAGACACAGAGAAAAGAGAAAGAACTAGTGTGCGCTCCTTCTCACAAAGAGAGGAACTCCTTTCTTCCAGCGGTTTTCCTTGTTTTTTTCCTGAACGGGTGACAACAGGGGACTTCTGCCGGGGAGACCATCTCAACCGGGTCGGTGTAAGCACCGTGAGTTTGTGTTTGTGTGTGTTTGAGCGCAATGAAGAACTTGATGTGTGTTTACTTGTGTGTAGAAACTATCCTGTGATCTTTCATTCTTTCCCTGCTTGCTTTGTGCTGTTTGGGTTACCTCATGTGCACTCGTTCTTTCTAGCTCCTGCTTTCTGGCATTCCCCGTTGTCTTTTATTCCTCTAATAGAGGTTTGGTCCACCCTGGCAAGGATACTCAGCATGCAGTCTTTTCTTTGTGTTGGATGTTACAACTGCCCGTGATGTTTATAAACCTGGGATTTCCACACATTTTAATACTTTCTGAGCTCCAGGGAGCGGGTTCGAAGCCCTGAATGCAGCAGTGGGGTCGTAGGAACGGTGGCCGGGTCCTGCTCTTGAGGATAGTTTGCTTGTGTGGGTTGGAAAGAGAAGTATTTTCACCTTAACCCGTGGCTCATGTTTTCTCAGCTGCTAGGCACAATCAGATAAGGTGATTAGAGGATGGCTGGATCTTCTCCTCCCTGCGTTGCGCGTCACAGCTATCGTTTGTCTCTCTCTTTCTTCTGGTTTGGTGTTCAGAGGAAGCGTTTCCACAGCGCTGGCTGACTCTTAGCCTGGGGAGCAGATTTGAATGCTTTTCATTGTTTGTGTGCACGCGCAGCTTATGGATTTGCATGTGTCTGTTTGCGCACGTGGCTGTGTGCTTCCAGTGGTGGAATGTTTATGGAACAGATTGTGTGTTTTTTTTTGTGTTGAGGGCAGTGGGGCATCTCTTACAAAGAAGTACCATGGTGGTATATGGTACAGTGGTGATATCAGATGGTAATACCATTGTACTTTTTTACATTCCCATTTTTACATTACTTGTAAAACAAAAGTCATGATACTAAAAAGCCATGGCAACACTGTGGCGCTTTGTACTGAAAGATTTTACCATGGTGTTATCATGATGCATATCAAAGACATCATGTTAATGCTACTTTGATATTTCACTTATACTTGGAAAACCATGAAGTACCATGTAAATACCATGGTACATGAATGCCATCACTGAACTGTGGTACCAACACAGTACTTTTTTCGAAGGGATACAAGTAGAGTACAAAATGATATAAACCATAATATTATTATGCTCCATACCCCCAAAAAAACTTGGTGATAACATGGTTTAAGGCTCTGAAATGCAACAGGAATACCTTTCTTTCTATGTTATCACAGTATTATTTATATACTATTATCAAACGCATACTATTTTGCATTAGATTTTATTTTGATATTTTCAATTTATATATTTTTTTTATTTATTTGTTTTGTTTTTTATTTAGCTTTATTTTTGTTTCAGTTTTAGTCATTTTAGAACTTCAACTTTTATTTCAGTTATTTAAGTTTTTATCATCTAATATTTATATCTTGTAATATTTCAGCTTTATTTCACATAAAAACTTTTTTTTAGTTACAGTTAAAAAAAATAACAATGAATTCCAGCATAATATATATACCATAGTATGTGCCCTAAAACATGGTTATACCACGGCATCTTATTCAGAAATAATATGCTAATACCATGTTAATAGTTATATTCCATAGTGCTTAAAGATTACTATATATATTTATTAGGGTTGGGCGATGTCTACCAATTTAGTATCGGACGATGTCTACGGAGTACGTTTACATGGACAACAATACTCCGATATTAATACGATTAAGACAGTACTCTGATTAAGAATCTACCATGTAAACAGAGATTTTTGATTACCTTAATCCGGCTAAAGTCATAATCGAAGTAAACAGAAATTGAATTAAGACATGTGGAGTATTCCTATTTTAGTCGCATTACTGAAGTGCAGTATAGACATGTAAAAACCTTATGCCGGGTTCAGACTACACGATATTTTTGTCAGTCATGATAGTCATTATGTCAGATTACACGATTTTGACTCCTAAAATCTTGTCGTGTCGTGGACAAGCTCAAATAATTAACTGCACTTTGAAGCTTTCATAAAATTTAAAATGAAACTCAAAACAGTACATGGCATCATCACGAAGACGAACTATATGTTTATACGTGAGGGGACGGAGGGGACGTCGGATGTCGTCACGTGGGGATGTAATGACATGTGCCATTAATCGAACTATGTACTATAACATGTAAAACGGGAACATGAAAGGGATTTTCTAAAAGCAGCTCATGTAAACACCATAATCATAATATTGGCTTATTTAGAATAAGGTAAATAATTAGATTGCTGATGTCCATGTAAACGTAGTCAGTGAAACATCGTGATGGACAATGACATCGGGGGCGGGGTTAGGGGTGTGCCCGAAGCGTGCAACAAATAACGCGTTATACGGAGCCACTAAAAGGTTAGCCGCTTGCTAGCGGTAGCCTGTTGCATTACAGTACATGAAAGTCAGCTTAACATCGTGATGTCTGTCAGCCATCGGCGATGGACGATGACATCGTCTATCGGCCCAACCCTAATATTTATATACACTGGAACCTTGTCCAAAGAACATGATAATACCATGCCACTTTGATATATTCTATGGTGCAGAAAGATTACCATATTAACATACAGTGATATTTCTATGATATTACCACAGTACATGTCCAAAAATACTGCTGTATTACTTCACTACTTATATACCAAAGTACTAAATGCTTATCATAGTCATTTTCTATGGTAAATGTCCAAAAACCTTGATGATTTCATGTCTTTTTATGAATGATCTCTGCATGTGTGTCTGCATGTATTTGTGTTAGGGCTGCACGATAAATCGCATGCGATATTTAATGCGCATCTTGTCAGAAAGCCGGTTCTGTAATCAGCGGTAAATCTCCATCACCTGCGGGCTTAAATATCGCATGCGATTTATCGTGCAGCCCTAATTTGTGTGTTGCGAGCAGTGTGGGACGGGGGCACAGGATGTGTGTGTGTGGGACAAGGAGGGCAGTGGGACTGCTTTAATCACTGAGTGTGTTGTCTGAGAGCAGTGGGCTGGAAAGAGCTGACTGGAGCTGCTCTGTGGAGAGAGGCTCTTCTGGGAGAGCTTAGAGCTCAGCTGTTAGCCGTGTGAAGAGCTACACAACCATTTGCCTAACCATTCAATGTCCCTCCTTTGGAGAGGGCCACTGGATTAGTGCCAGAAGCGTGTGTGTGTGTGTGTGTCCGAGCTGCTTAAGGGTTTGAAAGGACAGGAGGTGGGCTCGCACATCTGCCACAAGGCTGTGTGAGTGTGAGTGTGATTACCAGTTTTGGGTTGGGGGTGGACATTTTAGTCACAGTGATAAATGGTTTTTGGGCTGTCAGAAAGCCTGGACTTCAATGGATGTCTTATATTTACACTCTTCCTCCACATAGCTGCATTTGATGTTCTCGCTGAAGACTTTTGAGCTCCTAGGCACAGGGAAATTGAATGGGAAATTATATTGTGAGATATATATATTTGGAACAGATTAACAGGAACTACAGAAAAAGTCACACAGCCCTGTCACAAAGGTTAGGGAAGTTTTGTTGGCTTTCTGGTGACAAATAGATGCTTGAAGTTGACATTGTTTTATTAAATTTAGTTTTATTGTGGTATTTATTGTATGGTTATTTTGCGTTAGTTTATAATATGGACTTGTTTTGCTAGACTGAAAGAAATACAATTGAATCTTGTATGGGAAATATTTGGAAGAGCTTTAATGTATTTGTCACATACACTACTATTCAAAAATTAAAAGGACTGCAGCACAACTGTTTTCAGCATTGATTATTATAATAAATGTTTCTTGAGCACCAAATCAGCATATTAGAATCATTTATGAAGGATCATGTGACACCGAAGACTGGAATAATGTGTGAAAATTCAGCTTTGCCATCACAAGGATAAAATACGTACATGGATAAGTAAACTTAAAGGGGTCATATGATGCTGCTAAAAAGAACATTATTTTGTGTATTTGGTGTAATGAAATGTGTTCTTCACGACATGGCGGCGGCAAAAATACTACAGCGAGAATAAAAGTTACGTCGTCTTTCTTTGCGTGAACATTTGTGCGGCGTTATGCAAATCTTCCCAGATAATGACGTAGGTATGTGGGGGCGTGTTAGAACGAGCCATTTTAAGTAGGTGTGGCTGACTCTTAACTTTTATAAAGAATATCTCTTTGGATTTGAGACTTTAGTCTTTGCAACTTTACAGATCTTCTTTATGCACCAAGAGCTTGTAACACTGCAAAGAGAAAGGCAAAATTGAAATCGCATCATATGGCCCCTTTAAAAAAATCTTGCTGACCTCAAATGTTTCAACGGTAGTGGAGGTTTGAATGTTTTATAGCTTTTCTGGTGACAAATAGATGCTCACAGTCTGCTGTAGTTTATTCAATAGAGTTGTTTTGCGTTGGTTTATAATACAAGCTTGTTTAGTTAGACCAGGGGTAGGCAAGTTCGGTCCTAGAGAGCCACAGTCCTGCAGAGTTCAGCTCCAACCCTGAAAAAGAAACTCACCTGCCTATAGCTTAGTAATCCTGAAGACATTGATTAGCTTGTTCAGGTGTGTTTGATTAGAGTTGGAGCTGAACTCTGCAGGACTGCGGCTCTCTAGGACCGAACTTGCCTACCCCTGAGCTAGACAGAGAAATTGAATGGGAGCATCCTTGTCATATAGGTTTGGATGTTTCATAGCTTTTCTGGTAAAAAAAAAATGCTCAAAGTCTGGTAGGTTTCACATTGACTTGTTTTGTTCTGAAAAAGTATGAATGAGATATTTTTGTCTCTCACACCATGTCCTAGCAAGGCTCAGTGACATCAAGCTAAAAATGATTAAAACATGCATCTCTTACATGCTAATCTGAGTTTGTGACCTTACCAGCAACAATTGCAACAGAAGACATGACATTTTGTCAGGGTTTCTATTCCTATGTTGTGAAAATCCCATTCGTCCAAAATCCTGCTCCACTTATGTTCTGATTGGCTGTGATTGTCACATCATGCATTTCAGTAAATGTTGTTTACATGTTACATTGTCTTGGT